CATATAATTATATCTTAACATAAAAAGAATGATAAGTAATACTGAATCCCTCAATTATTGGATACTCATCTATAGTTTCTTTATTGGGTCCTGATTTTTGGAACATGATGAATATGTGCCGTAACTTTCAGCACACAGTTTTGAAAATCTTGGCTAACATTTATATCGTGTCAGCTGCAATATTTTCAAGATTTCACGTAACAAATGCTTTAAAATGCTGTCAAATTGTACCTGTGTTATGTTTTACACAGTGAAACATTAAAGATAATGTTAAATACACCAAGTCAGAGGACCCTATCCAACCTAACAATGGTGAAATAATGACAATTTTCTTTTCAAGAAAAGAGAACAGAAATCATTTGAAAGTTTTGCCCTGTACAGAGTAAGATTATTTTAATTCTTACCCTGAGAAACAGTAAACTCTTACCAAGAATATTACCCAATCTACAGATCCAAATATTTTGTGAGCTATGTTACAGGGAGCTTAAATATTTCTTAGAGACTTAATTTTTTTTTTTTGCTTTATATTTATTTGGGGGATGACAACTGATAATGAGTAATACTGGTGGGATCTCAGAATTTTACACTGTCCAGTCCAGAATGAAGCAAAGGAAATGTTAAGGGAACTATCTAATATTTCATATCCCACTAGAGCACTTTTTAAAATTAAGATTCCATAATCGCAAAATATTTGGATTAAATGAAGAAATTCTGTATGTATTATTCAAAATGTGACTTATAAACAGCAGTTCATTACTTTGGAACATGCAGTAAATAAGATCTATTTTATTACTGTATTAGGAATATCTGCATGTCATACAAGTACTGACCTCATTCCAATTCAAAGAAGAATTTTAACTTATAATTTAGAAAAAGGAACATATATTTATATAATTGTACCCATATTATCTTTTGTTTTTATTTTTTTTTTTAACAAAAAGGTATTTATTATCTAAATAATGAAAGAATACTTACACAGTTGGTTGCATTGTGTCTGTGATTTTTCTATATGCTAGTAAGGATGCAGATTCTACTGTCTGTATAATTAAAAAACAAACAAACACAACTGCAGATTGACACAAGAGTGTACCTGCATGGAGGTGGACACTGGCGTGAGTGCACAGTTACAGCATATGCAAAAATCAAATCTGGGCAAGGGGATTCCCTCCCTTTTTGCACCATAAAAGTACAGAAAGTTCTCCCAATGGTCTGACAGTCATAAAAAGTTGGGTTACCCAGGGTACTTTCCACTCCTCATTTGGGAAGGGAAAGCATAAACAATGTATTTTTGTAATCAACCTGAATTATGACGATGAATTCGTGCTTAGGTGAATACAACATTTTGGAGGAAGGGAGAGAAAGTGAAAAAGAAGGAAGAAATGAAGGAGGAAAAAGAGGGGGATGAAGGAGTAGACAGAGAATGAGGACACATTTTGTGCAGTACTTCTGTATCCCCGGGGGTGCAAAACAGAGAAAGGACCCTGGTGCTCTGGGAAATGAATGAGTTTTCAATGTGTTGCCAAGAAGCATATTGTGGAAAACAGTGGAATTGCTTTATTATAAATGCTGAAGCCCAAAGAGCTGTAGAATATTGGCTTTAGATTATTTAATAATTTTTTGCAAAGAATTTACTGCAAAGCATATCATTAAAGCCAGAAATTCTGACACAGTATCTATGAGGCTTGCTCATATTGATGAAGATGTATTACACTATTTCAAAACACAACCACAACAGATCAAGTGATTGTTTCATTCAATAGTTTTGTTCACTGACGTATACTTACCTGGTGCAATATTTTGTTAAAAAATACTAGTTTATTGGAAAAAATACAGTTGAAATGTAAAACCAGTATTTTGAAATATTTTGCACATGTAGCATGTAGAATTAACATAAATAACATTGAGACAGTAACTACTAGGAACAAAGTTTCAGATGTGAATATGGATGGATTTTGCACTGAGATGATGGTGCTATGCTGTTAAGTCTAAAACCAAATTTTAAATACTAGCTGTTTAGGAACGGCAGTTTGTTAAGAAAGCCTAATACTAATTAAATATCTTGCATGAAATGATATTGCTCATTAATACTGTTATTACAAAATATCAAAACCCTGTTCTTTGTCCTCTTGGTTTCAAGAAACAAATAGCAAACTTGCAGCTTGTGGTTATGTGACAATGAACAACATAACTGCAGTGAATGTAAGAACAGTGGAGGAAAACTGAGTATGTATCCTGAATGCATAAAAAAGCTTCACATGTTCATCACAGCTAAAAAAGCAAGGATTGTTTTACCTGCAAATCTCCTTGTCTCTGTCTATATGCCACTTATTCCTCTCCAGAGATGGGTACATGCAGCAACCAGTCAGAATGCAGAAGACATTTTTGTATTCTTTATTCAGCTCACTAGCCAATTAGTTCCCAGTAGGTTCTTCCATAGTTATGGCCATGTAAAATAACTCAAAATATTGTTAGTAACATCTAGCTGGTAACATGCAACTTCTTTTGCTAATATGATTACTGCTTGCAGTACCACTGATAAGACTGGCTAGGTAAGACAGCCCAGACTATTGGATTTAGGACACAGAAAATGAAATTTGTACAGAACAAATTCCTTTTATTGTACACTCACTTTAACATCCAGGAATGACTGGATAATAACTGGCTATAAGTATCTTAGAAAAAATTACTTGTAATTTTTCCTTCTGCTCATGATCTCTTGTCAAGTTGGCTTGATGTTGAAAGAATAAGAAACGTTTCCCCATATATTTTAAGTGTATAAAACAATTCAGAAGGTGGGGCAGATCTTAGAGATTTTACTACCTTTTAATTCAACTAAATAAAATTATAGATCTCAATGAAGTTCTCAATGAAGTTCTGTCTTGGATTTTGTCCGTATGGTTTTCTTGGCATTTCAACAATCCAGAGCTTTTCCTTTAGTTCAGACAGGAGCAGGAAAAAATGGAAGATTAAATTTTTGTTCAAAATGAAAACAGGATGAAGCATTTGATACCAGGCAAGCAGACACTCTTAGTTCGATCTTGTGGGAAAAAAATCAGAGTAGTTTAAATGAGACACTTTCTAACTCTCTGACTCTTCCAGGTACTAGAAAGGTAAAAAGATATCTAACAGAGAAATCAAATGCAGTGATTCTAAACAAAGGTGACACAGATGTTTAAGGACCAAATTAAGACTCCTAAAAAGAAGCATGGACATCAATGAGAACAAAACAGGGCCACTGCGAAAACTAATTCAGATACAAGATCTCACCGGAAATTACTTGATACTACCACCTAACCTGTAGAGGCTGAAGCTGGAGAAAGGTGAGGCCCATACCTTTAAAAGATCCTCTGGAAAAAAATGAAAATAAAAAAAATACATATCTTCTTATAATACAGAAGAAATAGAGATTGTAAATTTTATATTGACTAATCTCCAGAGTAAAAGAAAATTGTAAATATTATCTAATTATCCCTATGCTCATGGACTGAACCATTTCCAGCAAGTCTCCAGTCATGAATTCTGGGAAGAATACCCTTAATGGGTCAAGATGCTGAGGAAAAGGCAACAAAAGGATATTTCTCTGAAAAATAATGCTGACATGACTGGACTAGCATTATTAGTTTTACATTAAGTCTTATTTTACCTGATATTCCTGAGGACCTTTTACAGAACTGGAATTTGGGGAAAATGCATGGAGAAATCTCTTGTTCCAAGGAACAGAAAGATTTGAAAAACTGTCTGAGCAATCTTGCAAATGTTTTTTTGTCCTGAGTAACAAATAACTTCTCCCAACTGTGAATCAGCATGTCTACTAATACACAAAATTCCTTTTGATTAATGGATATTCTACCTTGGAGAGAAGTTTGGCCCTTCTTGTCTAGTGAATATAGCAGAAAAATTTCAGTACTTTTGTACTGAGATGAGAGGCTCCTTGTATAGTTTTTGAATTTAGATTAATCTAAGAGTCATTTATTTCAGGTATTTCCTGGTCAGCTGCATGTATCTTTGTTAAGATGTCTATCCATAACTTAATGGCCTAGTCTTCTTCCAAGACTGGCCAATTAAAGGAAAATAGACTTTTTGGAGGAACTCATCAGTTTCCCTTTTACTATGCCTAGGGACAGATATTCAAAAACCCAGAGCCTGAATTGATTCAATCTGCAGGTTAGTCTAACCTGACTAGGCTGAATCGGTTTGTACCTGTACAGACATCACCTCTGGACTGAGAAAATGCAGGCACATGCCTGCAGTGGCTCAGCCTAGAAGCTGGGGGGTGCTAGAGCAGCCCTTCCTTCCCTTCCATACTGCTAAGCTGAGGGGGAGGCGTGGCTAGGCCCCAGCAGAACTCTCTGATAAGGACCCCTCCCCCCCCAACTCACTGCTCCTGACCAGTCCAGCAGGGAGTGGATAACAGAACATTTATCAGCCCATCAAGAAAACAAAAGCCTCTCTCATTAGTTCAAACTCTTCTTAAACAACTTTTTCCAAGGAAGTAACAGAGGCACATTACCAGCTACCTGTTGATTAGCTCCAAAATAGCCCTAAGTTGACACTGTCCCGTCTGTCTTTGTCTTGTCTGCCTTACACAGATACCTCTCAGCATTAGCTAGCATACCACATGCTGGCTACAGTCCGGGCTGTAGGAGAGGGGAGGGGGTGAATCCCTGCTTGAGCAGCAAGTGGTGATGGGGAGGTGGGGGTGCAAGGGGAAGCCAGGCAGACGCTGCTGTGCCTGCCATCTCTGCCAGAGATCCACCTAGGGAGCAGAGGGGCAGGGATAGCCCTGCTGGCTGGAGCAGCGAGCCCTGCCCAGTGCTGCAAAGCACCTGGGATGCTGGGGGACTCTGGTTTATGTTAAACCAGGAAGGGGTCTGGGACAGACATTGCATAAATCAGTTTGAGCCAAATCAGCTAAGTCTGATACCACATTCAACCAGGTTTATCTCAAACTGGTTTCAGCCATTTTTAAACTGGTTTATGTGCACTAAACATCTGTTCTGTTATGGGTTTAAACCAGTTTCTGATCACTTAAACTGGTTTATGTAAGGTCTGTCCCTAGCCTATGTGACAGGTGACAGTCAAGGTATGCTTGCATCTCCAGTCACTATGTACCATTGCCTTCCTGATCTCGGCAAAGGGATAGTTTGACAAACTACTAGGCTAAACCAGTTCATAAAGGCTGCACAGAGTCTGTACCCTCAGATGGGGAAGTGACAACTGACGAGTACTTAACTGAATCAAGTCTAAGACTACATCTGTGCTAGGTTCTAGGAAGTCTAGAACGTGAATGTGACACCCAAACCTCTTAAAGCTGATTTCTGTGACTTCACTGAAGCTATTAACTGATAAAAGAATTATTTGTACCTTGTTTGAAACTGCCTGTTCTCTAACTACAAGATTATACTTTCTTAAAATCACTTCCACCATGACCCTGGAGAATAACATGAGAGAATCTGAAACAGTGGAAGTGGATGATACTGAAAATGCTGTTGAATTAAAATGTAAGTACTGAGATACAAGTATAATGTGCATAAATAAGGATTCTATGAATTTACTGTGTATACTTCCTGATGACCGTTAGGGACGATTCAACATTATTATTTTTCTTTTTTACAAACTGACTGGGCCACCTGAAATTCAGAATTAATTCTAGAGGCAGTCACCCAGATTCCTTTCTTCACTAAGGCTTAATATCGCAGCCTGAATTCATAAAAACTAAGACAGAGTTGATGATGTTTTCTGCTTTTTTCTCTGGAGAAGAAATTCAGTAAGAACAAAAGATTTTTCTACAGATTCTGGCCTCAAACCTATTCAGACTATTAAATGATATATGCAGCCATTAGTATCAGAGTCCATTTGATGAGCATTTAAAAGAATTCCATCCATGCTGGTTCCTGAAACACTGAGAAACAGCATTATATAGTCAGAAAATTCCTCTTGGTGGATCTGTTGTCTCTTTGAAAATGTGACTCCTTTATGTAGTTCGCAGGAAAGGATCGAGAGCCCCAATAAATTCCTTTTCCCCCTTTATATTTTGGAGGAGAGCGGCAGGTGGTCTGGCATTTGCGAGAATAGAAAAATGAAGAGCTTGCGCAGGATCTTTTCTTTTTCTGACAATGCAGAGAATGCTTTTGCTCTGAGTAACTCTTAAGAGCCTGGACTAAGGGATCACCAAATAACATGCCTCCTTTGTATGGCAAAGATAACAGTTGGCACATTAGTTCTAATTCTGAGGACCAGGGGCATAACCAGATGTCCCTCCTGGCTACTGTGAGGCATGCCATATTTTTAACTGTAAGCCTGAGAGAATCCTCAGCTGCGTCATGGATGAAACTAGCAGCAATTCTACAGAGACTGTGTGTTCTCTGCTGGGCTCTGGATTTGCTCCTGGATAGTTCTTTTTCCAGCCAGATTAGTAAGGCTCTGGAAGCATGGATAGAATAGATAGACACTCCAAGTTGGGCTGCAGCTAACTTGAAAGATTTCTTAATTGCTGACTCAACCTTTTTATCAATAGGATCTTTAGGGCTAGTAGTCATGTGAGTAGGTAGAGAGGTTTTGGCATCACCAATGATCACTGCAGAGTCTATTTTGGGTAAAGTCCCCCCCATAAGGAAGCTTTATCCGCTGGAATTGGGTAGAGTTTAGGCAGAACTGTTGGGGCCTCATGTATTGCCTCAGGATTATTCCAAGTTCTACAGACCAGCTTCTCCACCGCTACGTGGATGGGAAGGGCCCTGTCCTCTTCAGAGAGGATAGGTGGTTCTTCTGAATGCTGTTCAGATTTTGGGGGGTTTAGCCTCAGCACTCTCTTAATTTGCTTAAATAAATCATTCTGATTTTCCATGTTAAATTTACATGTGGGCTCTGAGTCCTCCTGTTCCTCCACAGAGGATTCAGGGGAGACTTCCTCATCCTCAGTGGGTGATTCATCTTCAAATGCCCTGTCAACCTTAGACTTCTCCAGATCAGAAACCGCTAGCTCGTTTAAACTGTCCATACCTTCACGCATTAAGATCTGAGATTGGTCCTCAGATGTTTCAGGAAGAACCAGAGCAACTGCTGTGTGTGTGGCTTTGGAATTCTTTACAGGAAAAAGTCCAGCCTGAGCAGAAGAGGTCATTCTGTGCCTGGCCACAGTCAGTGCATCCTTTAAAATGGTAGTAATCTCAGGCAGTATTACAGCTCTCATTAGCGAATTTTTGTCAGATTCAGAGAAATGTGAAGGCCTTACCTTCCTGTGATGGGAACACTGGTTATCTTCTGTGTCTGAGCTGTAGTCTGGAGTTTGGCTAAACCATCGCTGGAATGAGGAAGGTTGTCCTGCCAGAGACCCCTGATCTTGGGCCTGGCTGGACTGTTGTTGGAAGGGAGAATGCTGTCCTGCCTGAGTATCTGAGCCCTCTTCTGACCCCATTATCTGTTGCTGAGAAGCATGATGTCTAGAGTCATCCCTGGATTTCCATTTGTCTGATTTCTTTTTCTCCCAGGAGAGGGAAGTGTAGACAGAACTAACCCTTGAGAGTTCTGAAGACTGCCTAGCCCTTCTCCTGGAGAAGGAGGCCTCTGATCTGGTCCTGGAGGAATGAACTCCTGACCTTCTGGACAAGTTGGATCGCTCAGATTTCACAGACGCTGCTTTGGTAAAGCCAGGGTCTGCTTCAGAAGATTTGACGGTACAGATATAATTTTTTTTCCTTTCTTTGTCCTTTTTCTTTATTGTCCACGTAGACATGGACCTGAAGTGATGAAAAAAGTTCAAAATACTCGAAATTCTTAGAATTTTTTTTTTAAGGAAAAACCTACACCATTTTTCCTCAAAGAAGCACTGCATCACCAACAGTGCTGTGTGAGGTGGCCTGAAACTGGGAACTGATTAGCTGCAGTGATGCTGAGCTGCAAAGAGGGTGCCAAAACATCTTCTGCAATCTGACTGGTTGCTGTAGCTGCCCTGTCTCTAAAGAAAAAGAGGAAAGCCCATCATAGGCTAACGGCACATAAATACATTTTAGAAAGGAGTTTTCGGCATGGTAAATTAACTGCAAAACTCCCTGTGAACAGCTCTGGAAGTTCTCCACGTAATTCTGTATAATCACCACACAAAGGGTTGACAATATATGCATTATGAACAACTTAATAACAAAGCACTTGATGGTTCTGTAAATTAATGCACAAGCCATTTAAATATGGAGACGTACATTTCAGTACAGGTCAGAGATTGAGTGGTCTTTTCTCAGATTTAACCACTGTCCAAATCATGTATCTTGGCACAGTTCTGCATGAATGTCAGTTTTTGCTATAAAATAAAGGTCCAAGCATACAAAGCAGGGGTGCATATCAGAATTTAGGCACGGTGGCTGGGCTATATAGGGAAGTGGTACACTACTCTGTTTTCATTGTACCTGTTTCCACCCAATGCCTTCAGTCTCTCACTTTTATAAGTGGAGTTCAACTAAATTAACCAATGTGCATTTAAAATTAAAAACAAACACATTTAAAAAGGTTTTTTTTGTGCTGAACTGATGAATATAAGAGATTGGAAACTGGTAAAATCCACAGAAATAAACAAATTGCTCTTTGGCATGCAGAATTGTAAAAAATAGCTCATTTCAGATAGATAAAATGTATGTTCCATTTATGCAAAAAGAGCCCAGCAATACAGTGAACACTATTCAAACAAACAGATATTCATGCACTAGAACAGGTTACATACGGAAAATAAAATGCATTTTAATCAGCAATTAACATGGGAATAGAATATAATGAGCATATTACCTCACACACACAAGCTAAAACAAATCTATTTTAATATTAAATCAAAATACGCTTTACAAAATTCTGCTACACCACTCATAATTACTCTAAATGGACTTGTCTAATGAATGTTTTTTGTGTTGTGAGAAGATTCAGCTAAATAATTTTACAATAAAGAAGTAGCTTTAGGATACACTAAAAAATTACAGCTTGTGCTTTGATGCAGCCCACTGTCTTATGCACTCAACTTCCAAAAGGAGCGTTTTTAATTTCATTATATTCCTTCATGTCTTTCTTTTAACTACAGGTACTCCTCACTTAACATCACCCCAATTAACGTTGTTTCATTGTTACATCACCAATCTATTAGAGAACATACTCGTTTAAAGTCGTGCAACGTTCGGTTATAACGTTGTTTAGCCACTGCCTGATAGCAGGTAACTACTGTGCCGTAACTGGATTCACTTAACAGCGTTTCACTTAAAGTTGCATTTTTCAAGAACGTAATGATGACATTAAGGGAGGAGTAGCTGTATTAATGCATTGGATTTTGGTATGGGTAGCCATTTCTTTTGAGAACCTGCTTTCCAGTGAATGAAGCACGTTCCCAATTCTAACAGAAGGCCGGGTACAGGTGCACCTTATAAGCTAACTAAATCAGAGATGCATAAGCTTTAGGTTCACAGAAGTGCATGCACTTCTGACAGTCCAGAAGGTATATCTCTACCCTGCCTTCCACCTGACTTCAGGCTAACACAGCTACCTCCCTCCCTTGTTTCCGATTCAAAGTATTTCTCTGTGTGTTACACAGCTCTTGAAGGATTAAGAGATATGGCAAAAATGCTATCATTTTTCATGTATCTGATGTTTGATAAAATTAAAGCTGGCCCTAAGACTAAAATCTGTATGTAAATATCCTTAGCCCTGGGAGATCAGAATTTGAATCTGGATCCAAATTTTACATCTCTGGAATATATGCTAACAATACTGTAATCCTTCAGTTCATGTTCCATGGTGTTTAAAATTTCTTCTAACAGTTTAGTTAGAGCTACACCTAATTCTGCAAAACATTAACTACAAAGACATTTTCCCCATGACAGAGTAGTGATTTCAAATTGATAAAATGAGTGCCATCTTAAAAAAATTATATAATACTCCTAAATAAGAAGGGACAAGTAGGAAAAGTATGCATCAGTTGCTCACCTGTATTCACCAAATGTTCCATCATCTTCCTTCATAGGCTGAATTTCCGGATCAGCATGTGCATCTTCTTTTTCCTTCACTAAAATATTTGAAATTGGAATTTTTATCACCAAACATTAGGACTAAAATATTTCATGCCCTGATCCTTCAAACTAACCCAGAAGGAAGCAGGAGATTATCAAGACAGGGACACTGTTCGCCTAGTTTTCTTTAATATAAATTACCATTGCTCAACCAAACAAATTAAAAAGCAGGCTTCCAATGAAATTTAAAACTAAGAATAATGTTGGTCTCTGTGTTGTTTCTTTTCTAAAAATCTAAACAAAACCAATACAAGAAAAATCCCCCTAATGTCTCTTAAATTTAACTGTGGTTTTTTCAAATATTTTTAATAAAAATGTGTTCTATTAATACTTCATCTTTATACATATGGGGCCAAATCCTGAATTGTTCACATGTATATATATTCTATATATGTACCTAGTCTCATTGAATGATTTGCTGTGTTAGGGTCTTTGACACAGAAACTTAGGTATCGTTAAAATATAACATATTTCCATAGTACACATTACTCCAAGAAGTTGGGGGTACAGCCAAGTTAGAACTGTATTATGAATCAAAATTGGGAAGAAAAAATATTCTTATGTGTCTTTTTATTTCTGTTTAGATACATATTACTCTGTTTTCCTAATCTAGCAACTATAATTTGCTATAATGTAATTTGCAGTTCTTTTATGTTAGCAATTTTCATACTCAGTTTGTAAGGTTTTAGTTTCTAATTCATTGTTCAAGGCAATGTGACTCATCTCTGATATCTTTAAGCAAAGGCCAGCTCAATATGACATGCTAAAATCAAGCACAGTAATGGTTGAATTCATTTTAAAACAACTGACAAATAAGCTGCCCGACTTTTGGAGATGTTGTGTTACACAGTCAAGGTGCATCATATGTTTGCATGAAAGAAGAGATTTGATTTATCTTGCATATCATTAATAAATCTCATTTAACAGCAGCACTATGACTCAGCCTTCAGGTGTAAGGTAAGCAGCCGTGGCACAGACTGTTATATGCCAATGATGTCTTCAGCATCCAACTGCTTTCTATATTTTTTACTCTAGATGTTTCTTCCCCTCTGCTTATTTGTTGTTCATGGTTTCTTCACATCAGTCTCACTACCTCTTCCATGCTTCCCTCTTCCTTTTCCCTTTTTAAAAAAATCTGTTTAGTTAATTCCCTTTGAAAAAACTCCCTAGTCAATACATTAAAAATATACAAAGAAAGACACAAACGAGATCTTACTGTAACATCTGCAGCCCATGACTTCACTTGTGTGCTTTATACTTGTTCCTTGCCTTTTCCTTTCCTATCTAGCTTTGTGATATACAGTCTCCTACTCCCTTTTGCTATGACAACAGGACCCTGCTCCATTAAACAAAAATGATATTAAGAAAAAGCTTGTCTGGGCAGTGAAGGATTCTTGCATCTGAAATGTCTGAAAGATGTTGTGGTCTCTTTTAAGATCATCTGAGATGCATTAAGCTTGCTCATACTAAATAACCTTGCCTACTTTTAGTCTTATTTTCTTAAACAGAGCGAGGCTTTAGATATGTCTAGAGGCACTCACTTTCTACAGCACCATTTCCAATGTCGAATTGGACTAAGCTAATATTGGAGATATTACAGGCCAGTTGGGATCCCCCCGCCCCCACCATTACTGTCAAAATTAGTGAAACAAACTTTAAATAAATGAATTAAATTCAGAAACACATTAAATAATTTGGACATGTCTCTCATTTTCCAGGTCTCTAGTCTGCCAAATAGAATGGAAATCTCTAATGAGAACAAGGTTTCCCATTAAGCTTAACATTTCTGCTTTCTCTTTTGGCTAGGGGACTTTAAAAGAGAAAAAAAAGCAGCCTTTTGACACTTCTAGTTCCAGCCAGAACCCAGGAATGATAAAATACTGGTACATATGTTTAATTACTAGAGTAAAAGCTTGGCTTCAGTGGGTGTCCAGATGAATGGGTGCATGTGCTTTGCAGCACCTCAAAGGCTTTTGAGTTGCCACAAAATGCATATGGCGCATGTGAATGGGTTCTCCATGCTGCAGCACGGAGGCAAATTTAGATACTGGTAACTCTCAGTATCTAAAAAAAAATGCAGCAAAAAAAAAAGCAAGGTGGTGTACTTGACTGCAATGGGCACCACCCAAAACTGGAGCCTGGCTGGCCAGAGCCACACTATAGCTGCTGGCCAGGCTCCATATACTTGGGTTGCCATTTCTTCAACTACAGAAGGCCCCCAAGACCCCAGGTAAGACTGCTGGGGCCAGCTCAGGTGCTGGCCCCAGCCTCCCTTACACCAC